GGATTAGGATTACAAATTAATCAAATGTTTTCAAAATATAAGGAGAAAAAAATTAGATTAATGGAACGGCAAAAAGAAGTAAATAAATTGAAATAAAAAAATTACATTAAAAATAATAACTATTATTTTTTTAAAAGTATATTATATATATAGTGGCAAAAATTATATAGAAAAAAGCCAAATTTGATTAAAGGTCGTTTAAAAGATACAGTTTTTCTTGAAAAGGCAAAACAAACCATTGGTGAATATAATTTAAAAGTGGATGTAGATTTTAGCTTGACAAGAAAAAGAGAAACTGCAGCTATAAAATTTAAACAACTTATGGATTGTAGAAATAAGGTAAAAATGATAAAGAATTCACTATTAAAATAATTTTAAAAATAATTATTTTTTTTAATTTATAGCTTCATAATTTACGAGAGAATTTCAATATGAAGTTGAAAACAATTGCATTAAAAAAACAAAGAATGCAAGAAGAATTTGGTAAACTAATAGAAACTCTTAAAAAAATTCATATAGAAATTCCATTGAAAAATGTAAAACCTTTACCATATCCACCAAAAGTAAATCTTGATATTGAATTTCCTGAACATAATCTTGAGGTTAATTATATTTAATTAATAATTAAGCATAATTAAGCATAAAATTATATAGGATTATTTCTTATAACTTTATAATAATCATTATAGCTTGAAAAATATATATCTATGTCAGAAAAGATGCAACAAGTAAAACGTGAAAAACAATCATTGATTGTAGATCAATTAATAGATTATTCTGATTTAGAATATGAAGTATTATATTGTGATGACAAAAATATTCATGAAGAGCAAGACCTTCTTCATTCTCTTATTTCTTCTTCAACAATAAAAATAAGAGATCAATCATCTATAGCATATGATTTAATTAAAAATCTTAATATAAATGACTCCGTTCAAACTAGTTGGGAACGTGAAATGAAACGTTCTCGAATGTGGCGAAAAATATATCAACAAGATTGTATTTTACAACATATCAATACTGAATATAAACAATTGGAAAATGAATTAGATGAGTTAGAAAAATATAGATTAAATGTTATATATCAAAGTATATATATGAATCTGAATTTGTTAACTTTATATGAAGAATTTATTATTTTGAGAGAATCTGAAACAATGGAACATTTACTTGAAGAAAAAGTTACTCAGAAATCAAATGAACATACTACACTGGTGTCAAAGGTTATTATTCTTCTAATAAAAAAATTAACTTTTAATCATATTTTTATTTATTAACAATATTATATTAATATACAATAGATGCAAGGTACAAATATTAATATTACTACACGAGAAGAAGAAATTCGAAAATTGTATACAAAAATTAAAGATATTGCTACTGAATTTGCAAAAACTACAGTTGATAGTAAATTTCATAATTTTCTTCAAAAAATATTTAAAAAAAAATATACAATAAAAAAAACAAATGGTATTAAATTCTATTACTTTCATTATGAATATATTTTTAATTAAATTTAAGGATATAATTTTCAGTTATTAAAGAATAGTTAATTATATTAAAATTATAATTTTTAGCTTCTTTAGATTCAGTTACAGAATCAACAGAAACTACTGATGAAGAAACAGATGATGACATAGATTCTGAAGCTGAATATGTTCCATTTGATGAAAATATATGTCCAGTGGGATGTGATATACAATTATATGAAATGGCATTTGCTATGAGAGAAAAACGATATGCATATGAATTTCAAATCAGAGAAGAACAAAAAGAAATAGAACTTTTGCAAAAAGAATTGGATACTGATACAAAATATTTAAAAATCGTTGAAAGTATTTTAAAAAGTCATCAAGAAGAATTGGAAAAATTTATGGTATTTTCAATATTTGAATATATTTTCAAAGATATCCTATCATATATAATGTATAAATGCATTTTATTTTTTATTTATTATAGTTGGATAAACAAAAAAAATTAAATGAAATTAATGTAACAGTTATATTGAAACTTCATCAGTTACAGCATATATTAGATTCTGGATCTATTGCAAACATTGAAGATTGTATAGTTTTTAATAAAAAAAAATTATCAAATTTATATGCTAGAGTAGGAGAATTGCAAGAGGAAACATACAACTTAGAAGAAACACGCAAGTACAATAAAAAGAAATAAAATAGAAAAATAGAAAAATTTGTAAAAGAAAATTTATGATTTATTACAGAAAAAATGAAATACATTTAAAACGAATAAAATTGGATCTAAAATATATGAAAGCTCAAAACAAAAAATTAAAAGAAGAAATCAAAGAAAAGATGATACAAAAATTTGGTTGTAAAGTATCTTTGATTGAACTTTATGAAATTATTTTACAGAGATTAATTTATGATACTAAAATTGATGTGCGCAAAATTATGAAGAATTTTACTAAGGATATAGAAAGTAAATTTTATAATGTTTATTATTTTATAAAATTATTTTAATGAAAACATATACACTTCTATTATTATAATCTTTCAGATACAAAATGGAAATATAAAGAAAGTTTAATTACCTTAGAAAATTTAATTCAATATAATACTGAAAAATTAAGTTTTTTAACAATATTAGAAAAAGAAAATTTCAAACTTAAAAAAATTTTGAAACAAACTTTAATTTCAGAAGTAAAATATTTTATTAAATCTGCTTATTCATATATAATATGGACTATTTAATAATAAATAATATGATTATTATTTATTTTTATTAATTAATCAAAATTTTTTATAAATAATAAATTACTTATTATTAATAATTTCAAAAAATATTTAAGATAATAATATCATATATTTTTTTATTTTTTTTAAATTTTCAAATTCAATTTTTTCATATATAATCCTATAATATTTTCATTTATTAATTAATAAGATGAATTAATTCAATAAATTTAAAAATATCTTTTTTTTTTAGTAAAAAGTAAAAGAATTATATAAAAAAAAAAAATCATATAAAAAAAAATTAAAAATGATCTTGAAAATTTATTTACAAAAATATATAGAATAAATCAAATTTCATTATCTTGAAGATTCTTCAAAATTTTAACATTTATAATAAAAAATTTATCAATATATTAATAATAAGAATAATTAATGTAATTACATTAAATAGTCCATCTAATAAAACTTTATCTTGGAAAACCAAAAATTTTTTTTATTTACTTAATATTAAAAATTATTTATGTTTAAAAGAGCTTATCATATAATTTTGAAGTTATATTAACTTTATTTACAATTTGTTGACAATAATTGCAAATAAATAATTTTGACAAGATAGAATTAAATTTTAAAATTATTATGCAAAATTCATGATTTTAAATATTGATTTATTTAGCAATATAATTTATTAATAAAATATTAAATAAAAAATTTATTAATTAAAATAGACTATTAATAATATATCTATTAACTATTAATATTTGTAAATACTTATAATGATTGCTTGAATTTAAAAACTGTTTTTGAATTCTATTTGTCAAATACTATGAAGAAATATAAAAATAAACAAATTTTTAGTTTTTCATAATGAAATTCTAACATCATTAATTCTTAATCAATTAGAAATTATGTGAGTTAAATATAATCAATATTTTTCTTTACAGAAAGATATGTTAGAAATAGAACTTGAACATAAGACTGATTTAATTACACTTGAAAATATTCTTCATAATCAAATTCAACAAAAACATATTCTACAAAATGATATAGAAAATCTTAAAATTGGATCAAGAAAATTATTCTCAAATTGTTTGAATCAAAATATGTCATAAAAAATTAATTTTAAATAAAATTATTGATTAATTGTATAATGTATCATTTAAAAGTTTTTTTAACTTAAAAATGAAGTTCTTGATTAAATGAAATTAGAAATTGACAAATTTTTTTAATAAAACTTATTCTTATTAATATTTATAATAAGAAATAATAATAATAACAATAATAAATTGATGTATACTTTATATTTAATGTAAAATATTAAAATATTAAATATATATTACTATATTATATATCATATATATTATAATTAAAATATTAAAAATATGTTTGTAATTTACTTTTAAGTTTATAATTTTTTCAGATTTTTTTTATATTTTATTATTATAAAATATTCTTATTTTCATCGATTAATTTGTAATCTATGGCATTTAAATTTTTAAATTTTTTTTATATTTTATTTATAAAATAAAAAAATTTTATTTATAAAATAAAAAAATTTTATTTATAAAATAAAATAAAAATTTTTTATATTTTTTTTATAAATTTTGAAAATGATAGTCTTAATTATTGGAATTAATGATTTAAAAGTTGTATATAAATTTTTAGAGATTTTACTAATAATATAACGCCATGTTAGATTCTTAACTAACTGACTTAAAAAATAACAATGAACCAATTTTGAATTATCTTTCAATCAAATATTTTCATATAATTTCATATAATATAATTGATATTATTAATATTATAAATATAATTATTTATATTATATATTCAATGAAAAATTATAAATTATAAATATATTATAAATTATGATATAATTTTTTTATCTAAAAAATAATTTGAATTTAGCGCGACTTCTATTATATAATTAAATTATATAAAGAACTAACAAGAATCATGAAATTCTTTAATAAAAAGATAATTTAGATTTGATGCGTGTTCTTTTTTCTATCATCCAATCAGATTGGGTAAAAATTCAACATGGTCATATATTTTCCAAAAATCCCTAAAAATGAAAATATTTGCGTGTAAATAACTTTTAGTCACTGAATTTCTATAATTAAAATTATCTTTTTCGAATTTTATATATCAAAATTTATAAAGATATATAAAAAAATATTTCAAATTTAAATATTTTAAATTAAAATTTAATTTTTTTATTTAATTGTTGAATTTATTATATTTAGAAAATAATAAGTAATTTTAAAGTAAATAAATGTTAAAATGATGAAATGTTAATAACTTGTATACATTCTTTTTAAGCGATTCTAATTAACGTATTATTAATGATATAAGGAAATGTCAAATCTAGCTTAACGTTTAAAAAGTCTATGGTAATTTTTAAACTAAGGAGTTGTAAACAAATAAGAATAAAACAATGAATAGAAAATAAAGATAAAAAGGAAGATATAGTTGAAATATAAATTTATTTCTGTATAAAGTATATTTATTTATTCTTTCAGAAATTATAGAAATAGAAATTTAAAGTGTTTTTTAAATAAAAAAAAAGAATGGATCAAATGTTACCTAGTCCTGGATTTAGCATTCCAAGTATAGGTACACCTTTACATCAACCAGAAGAGGATCAACAAATCTTACCTAATGCATTACAACAACAGCAACAACAGCAGCAGCAACAGCAACAATCACAGCAGCAACAACAATCACAACAGTATCAATTACAACAACTACATACTATGAGTCCAAACATACAAAGTGGTATGCTGATGATCGGAACACCACAAAAAAATATGCACGCCTATGCAACAACACCTACTTTTGCAACACCACAAAGTCTTATGCAACCCCAAACACCGGTATGGCTAAATGTAATAGTTTTTAAATTTATTGAATATTATGTTTTATATTATCTGAAAAAATTATAATATTGTTTATAGCAAAATATGATGTCTCCATTAGTACAAAATACTAATCATATAGCTCCTCCATCTATAGGACCATCTACACCTGGTCCTATGACACCTATGACACCAGCTTCTGCAGATCCAGGAATATTACCTCAACTTCAGTAAATAAAAAATTATTTTGAAAATTATAATAAAAAATATATTTAATACATTACATATCTAATACATTGATCTTACAGGAATATTGTTTCTACAGTTAATTTAAATTGCAAATTAGATTTAAAAAAAATAGCTCTTCATGCTAGAAATGCGGAATATAATCCAAAGAGATTTGCTGCAGTTATTATGAGGATAAGAGAACCAAGAACTACTGCATTAATATTTAGTAGTGGAAAAATGGTTTGTACTGGAGCAAAGAGTGAAGAGGATTCTCGGTTGGCAGCAAGAAAGTATGCCAGAATTATTCAGAAACTTGGTTTTCCTGTTAGTAAATATTTTACTATAAAATTATTTATTTATTTTTAATCAATTATTATAAACTTAATTTATTTTACATAAAGGCAAAATTTCTTGATTTCAAAATACAAAATATGGTAGGCAGCTGTGATGTGAAATTTCCAATTAGATTAGAAGGTTTAGTACTTACACATGGACAATTCTCTTCATATGAACCTGAACTCTTCCCTGGATTAATATATCGTATGGTTAAACCTAGAATCGTTTTACTTATATTTGTTTCAGGAAAAGTAGTGTTAACAGGTTAGTAATTACTATATATGTTATATATTTTTATGTGTTATTCTTCTTTTTATATATACTTATGATTCATTTTTTAAATTATTATTATTCTTATTATTTGAGTAGGAGCAAAAGTTAGACAAGAGATTTATGAGGCATTCGATAATATCTATCCTATTTTGAAGAGCTTTAAAAAGCAGTGATTTTATTTTTTATTACATGTTAAAGTTATGTATTAAATGGACAAAACTAAGGTAAGATATTTTGATATTATTGCCTTATAATCAATAAATAAATAAAATAAATTGTGTATGTTTTGCTATGGTGCTAAAAATTTTTTAAAAAAATTAAAAAATTCTATGAAATTAATAAATTAAAAAATATTTTTGTTAAAATAATATGTTTACTAAAAAAAAATAATATGTTTAATTTTTAATTTTATTAAACAATTTTTAAAAGCAGAAGCTTCCAAATTTATTATTATGGAATAATGTGAAAAATATAGACTATTTGGAAAGCAATTTACCTTCTTGATGATATGGTACTTTGATTGAAAGGTAGTTATTCTTTAGAATTGAACTATTAATTTATATAATGTATATATTGTTAAAATTTATAACAAATTTCATTTTATTTTATACATAAAATATGATTTATATTTTTTCAATTAATAGAAATAACTAATACCTCATTATGCAAATAATTGTAAAGAGAAGAAAGAAATCCATCTATAGAATAAGAGAGACAATTTTTATGTTTGTAAGATTATCTGTATTCTTAAAAATGCTTTAACTCTGTAAAAATTAGATAACATTTTGATACATTGTAATATGAATTAATTACAAAATGAGAATTGTACAAATATTAAAACATTTTTATTATAAAAATATACATTTTATTGTGACAAGAACTTGTTTTAATGAAATATTTTATTATTTTATTTAATTATGTAATTTCATAATAGTTTTTACTAAACATTGCTGAAGTACAGGACAAATATCTTTGTTAACTGTTGTTAAAATTTCCGTTGCTTGTATAATAGAGTTTGTATCAATGTTTCCAATTAAAAATACTTCAGATACTTGATTATGCTGTGCAAGACTAGCTAATGTAATTATTCCATGATTAAAATCATCTTGATTATCTGGTTGTGTATTGCATATTACTTCTTCTGTATCAGTAGGATCCATTAAATAATGATTATCATATATACCCTATATTTTTATTGAAATTAATACTTAAAAAAATAAATAATAAAAAAATATTTATATTAGTTTTTTTAATAATCACTTACTATAGTAGAAGCTGTAACCAAACCAAACATAGGAACACCTGCATTAGCTAAAGCAGTACTAGCAGCCATAATTGCAGCTGCTAATGAAGATCCAGCATTATCTAAGACCATTGCATATACATCTACTTGAAAATTAGGAAATTCATGCTGAAAAATAACAACTTTTTATATATAATATTAAGAATGATCATTATATAAATAATAAAAATTAAATTATAAAAGTATATATTGAATTTGCTTTGAAGTATTTTTATAATTAAATTAGTTTAATTTTTAAAAAATATATTTCTACTGAAATAATTATTAATTAATATTTGTAATAATAATAATTACATATGTAAAAAAATTTATATTATATATATATATATATATATACATATATTTACCAAACATACAGCTGGTTCTAATGCTCTTTGTAAAATTAAACTATATTGTTTTTCCTCTGCATCTTGTTGATGAATTTTTCTTTTTTGACAAGAAAATGGAGCAAATTTAAATTCGCAATAAATTTCTCCTTGTGTGCAATAACCATTCCTATTTGATAATTCTCTAGGATCAAAGACAGAACAAACTACTTTTGTATTTCCTAATTCGATATAGGCAGATCCTTTTGCCTGGCTAACAATACCTGTTTTTAAAACTGTAAAAATGAAATATAAATAATTATTTCAACAATATTTAATAATATTTATTTATAAGATAAAAAAAGTTTAATCTTACATATTTTTCTCATTTCATTATTAGTTCGTTTATCGTTTCTTATATTAAAATTATGTTTTACTTTGTCACTTTCTTTATTAAGATTAGAATAAATATAATAAGGTATAGACACATCTGGACCATTAATTCGTCTTTGATCGATAGGCATTTTAAAAATAGAATATTCTTAATTTTCAATTAATATAATAACTTAATTAACCTTAAAAATATACAATTAATTATAAAATATTTACAATAAAATATTATGCATACATGATAATAATATCACAATGCCTAAAATGCAGTAATAAATTATTCTATATTACACGAACTTAAGAAGATTTTGTGTGAAGTATTGTGCTATGCGCATAAGAGAAATATAAAATACATTGCGCATCGCACTACATTCCATAACCTTTATTATTATATATTTCGTAAATGATTTAATATATGTATCAATGAAAAGATTAATTATCCATAATTTTATTTTTTGAATTTATTATTAATATTAATATACAACTATGTATCAATTTATTTTAATTATCGAAAATCATATAATTAATAATTATGAAAATTATATTCTTTCTAAAAATCAATTACTAGTACAATTATTATATTACTATACTATATTAACTAGTACAATATAATTAAAAAAAAACGTTAAGATTAATGCATGAGATAAATCTTTAATATATTATAAATTATAATATTAATCATTATCATATATATATTAATTATTAATTCAATTTAAATGATATTTATTTTGCTATTGAACTTCTTGCTTAATATTACTTTTCATCATAGAATTTTAATATAACTTTTATTATAAAAATATAAAAATATATAAAATTACATAAAATTGTATAAAGATTATAAAAAAAAAATAATTCAATTTTAAATATATAAAATGTTTTGAATAAACTATATAATATATTAATATTATAATTGATATATATAATATATAATGTAGAACATTTTTGATTCTAAAAATCAAAGTAAATACAAAAATTAATGTATAAAAATGTCAGTTAAGACTTATTTATTAAGTTATTTATTAAGCAATTAAAATATTAAAGCAGAACAGAAAAATAATGAGATCATTCTATTTCTATTATATTTTTATATTTTTCCTTTTTTTATTTAATGTAAATTTAAATTACTTATAATTTAATAAATAGATTTTAACCAATTTTTGTATAAATATTTTATAAATGTTTGTTTTGACATATAGAATCAATCCTTAATATATATTTCATATTAATAATATAATAATCTTAAATATATTTTATAAATGTATTAACATTTTGTATATTGTTACATATGATTTAATATTATATCATGAATAATTATTGAATATTATATAATATTATATTAATGTCAATTAATCATGACATTGCATTAGGCATAAAGATGCAGTTTTTAATACAAGAGCTTGTAAACTACAAAGCATCTTCTCCACTCTGCAATAATAATAATAATATCATTAATTATTATTATAATTTTAATATTAATAATTTTAATTTTGTTTTATTTCATTACCTTTCTTGATGATTTTCAATGTTATTAATAATATTTACAAACTCTTTAATATGTATATTAATATCTTGATATGTTTCATTTTTTGTTCCAATCAAATCTATAATAGATTTTAAACTTTCTGAACATAACTTTAAAGTTTTGCTTGTTTCTTTCCATTCTTCAGGTGTTTCAGGAAGAATAATATCACTACAGCGAAGTAAATCCAAAGGTTGCAAAAGATTATATAATTTAGATATAATATCTTTTAATGTTTGAAGATCTTCTTCTTCTATAATTAAAATAAATTTAATTATTTCTTATAATATGTATTTAGTTATGAAAGTTTAAAAAATAATTTTTATAATTATTTTTATAATATTTACTAGTACAATTATTCACATCTATAATTTGTGAATCAATATCATTTTGTATTTTTATCAAATTTATTATATCTCTTTCTCTAGTTTTCAATTTAAATAATTTGTCTTCATTATGTTCATATTCCTTAGTTATTGTAGCTAATTGACATAAAAATAATTCTGTCTTTTCTTTTGCTTTTTTTTTTAAAATTACTTCTAACATCATATTTTGCAAATATTGATCGTAAAGAAGTTTCATTTCTGTATCATCACATTCTGGAACTGTCATTTTAGTTACATCGAGTAATGATTGTGTAGAAAATATTGACATACGATCCAAAGCAAGTTTTTTTTTTGCAAAATCTAAATCATATAATTAATATTTTTAATTCCCACAAATTTATTTTAATAACAAATTAATAAAAATAAAAATAAAATTTTTACTCTGTGGTATAGCAAAATCACATGGCATCATTGTTGATCTATGATGAGAACTAGCTGCACGAACATTTGTTATGGTATTTTCTACTATGTTCCTTCTTATTGGTTCTGGTGTAGTATTACGTATCCTAAAAGAAAATAATTGTATTGTATTATATGAAAACTATTGAATATTTTATTTCTATCTTAATTATCTAATTTACCTTAATTTTGATTTCTCTGGATGATCTTTTTGCATTTTTATTCACAATTATTTTTATTTAGTTGATTTACAATTTTTTTAATAATAAAATATAATGTAAAATCATGGCAATATTAATAATCTCTTATTTATAAAACATTAAGAATCTTTAAATTAAAACATATTAACATACAAAATACAACGGTTATGAAATTATAACTGTTTGAATCTCGAATTATTCTCTGACGTTGCTAGTGCTACTGATGGAGTAATATCGATGGTACTATCGATAATTTAATTTCTCTATTGATAGTGGAGATAATATTACAATTTTAATACATCAATTACAAGTGATGAGTTTAATTTATTTTATATATTCATACTGTTATTACCGATTATTAAAGATTTATTTATATATTTATAGTTATCTTTATCTGTATATGAATTTTTCATTGTTAATTAATTAAGTAATTTGTTACTTGTATTTTGAATATTTCTAGTTTTTCTATTTTCTATTTCTTAATATTTTTGTGATTTATTATCATTTTTAAACATTTTCTATTTTCTTTTTCTTTTTTACAATAAAAAAATTAAATTAATTAAATATAAAATTAAAAGATAATAATAAACGCATGTTAACAAATTATATTTTAATTTTATATATATTAAAAATTTCGTAAAGAAAGATAACTCAAAAAATCTTAAATTAAAAAAGCAAAAATCAGATATATTTTGACATGAAAATGAAAAGAGTGATTTAATTCTATATTTTTACAAAAACAATTTTTAAATTTTTTTCATTTGGAAATATTTTAAAAAATTAAATAATGCCAATCAAAAACTAATTAAAATATTATAATATTTATTGCAAATAATATAAAATTAGCCGCAAAATAATTTAGCAAATCATATTAAAAGATTTTATTCATATATAAAAAAAATAAATCAAATAATGAATCAATATTATCAAAATATAATATCTATAATATAAATTTTTTTTTAAAAGATTTTTAGAATATGAAAATAATTCAAAACAAAAAAATATTTAACGAAAATTTTGATAATTGATTTCTGACTTTCTAAAATCATAAATGATAATGACTTTAGAAAATTTGTAAAACGTTTAGATTTTAAAATAAAATATCATATAAATTCAGAGAATATAATGAAACATATTTATGCAGAGATTTTAATAAAATTAAATGAAATATTAAACAAAAGTAAATATGTTGAATTATAACTATAGATGGTTAGTAAACAATAATAATCCATATTTGATAAGAATATATATCATACATTTTTATAGATAAAAATTTTTAAATTAAAAATTAATAATTAATTTTAAAGTTAAAAAATGTTGTTTTAGCAATAAAAAAATCATACTGCAAATTATTACAAGAAATTTATATGAGAAGAGAGAATTGGAAAATAAAAATTCTTGCATCGTCATATACAATATAACTAACATAATGAAGATACATAATATTTTCAAAAAAAAATATTTTATATTTTGTTATTTTTTTATATTTATTTAAGAGACATTTATTTTGTTATTTATACATATTTTGATAATGTAATACATATTTTGATGATGTAGAATTTTTAAAAAACAATTTTTTTAAGCTTTGTTGTAACAAACATAATCTAATATATTATATATTAGATATATATATGTTATATATATATATAACAAACATAATCAAAAAAGAAAGACTAATAACAAATAAAAAAAATATTCAGAAATAAAAATTAATTTAAAAAGTATTAACAAGATAAATTAATTTGTATTATGATAAAAACAAATTTAGAAATAATTCTTTGAATTAAATTTAATATTAATTAAATGAATATGAATAATAAAATTTTTTTTTTAAATTTTATTCTAAGCATAAACATATATATGTTTGTATTTATTTATAATTATCTATCAATAACTATCGGTGGTTTTTTTACTTCCACTCAGAATGTGACATTTAATTTTGCAAACTTAAAGTATTTAACAATTATATTAGCAAGTATATATCTGAATTCATTACGGGATCAAGCAAGCAATTCAATAGTAAAATCGAATGCTAAATTTAATTATGTAATATAAATATATATGCTATTATTTTTCTAAAAATTAAAAATATAAAAAATTTTTCATATAATTTTATAGAATTTTTTATAAAATTTAATAGAAGAAATTTAATAGAATATTAAAATTTTTTTTTAAATTATTATTAATTATATAATTATCATAGCAATAAATTAATAATAAAGAATAATAATAAAAAATAATAAAAATATATGAAATATATAAAATAAAATAAATTCATACAAATAATAATTAAAAAATATATATAATTTATATAATTCAATTTATTGATAAATTATCTTAATAAAAATGATATATATATAAATAATAAATAAATTTCATCAGAAAATAAAAAATTGAAATATTTATATAATTTTTTAAAAAATTTAAGAAAATTTCATAATATTTTATTGGAGCATTTATTAAAAATTTAAATTTTTTTTTAATATATATAATATATATATTATATAATTATATTATATATAATTAATATATATAATATAAATTTTGACATGAAATTAGAACAATTTTAATTTTCAGGAAGCATTTTTAGAAATTTTTAGAAATGAGTTTTTACACAAGTTTGATAAAAAAATGATAAAAAAATAAATCTGTTTTAAATTCAAATTCTTCTAGTTAAAATTTCATAAACTATTCCTATAAGAGCATTATTTTTTCATTTGATTGTATGATAAAGACATAGCATGTGATAAATTTAATTTTCAAATAAAAAATTGTATTTCAAGCTAAATTTAAATTGAACATACTAATGTAATTATGACGATTGACTCCAATTTAATATTGGCGAAATGATTGAATATAAGAGAATATCATGATATCAATTTTGCATATTGTTATGAGAATATTTGTGATGATATATTTTTCATTAAATAATTATCTATATATTTATAATATTAATTATATCATATAAAATTTTTTAGTAGAAAAAAAATTTAAACTTAGAACGATTTTATTCAAAGAAAAAACTTTAAATTAAATAAAAATTCATATGGCATTGTACTACTATATAACTTGTTTATCCTTAAAAATGGAAAATCATATAAATAATTTTTGAATTATTGAATTCCAATTATATTCATAGAAATAAATAATTAATATACTAATATAATATGTATAACTTTAATTATATAATTATCGCATATGTAATCTTATTAATCTTATTAATTGCTTATATATATATATATATATATATATATATATTT